CTGGAGCGGGGTCGGGGGGCAAGGATGGAGCCAGCCTTGGGGTGTCCCCCCCCCGCATCGTGTCCCCACGCAGCCTGGCTGGGGACAGGGCTGTCTCTCCTGTCACAGTGCTGGGCTGGGGGTGCAGCGCCCCAAAAGCAGGGCAGGCGTTGCCCCCCTCCAGGGCCACCCCAGACACTGTCCCCTGTGCCCCTCCCCGGGGGAGCCCCAGTGGGGACAGTGGTTTGGCCGGGGAGGGCAGCGCACCCTGGGGACACCCCAAGGCACCCCAGAGACACAGCGGAGCACGTCTCAGGGGCCACGGAAAGGACTGAGGGGACCCTTGGGGACACATCAGGGCAGCGTGGGTACGGTGGCAGTGTTGGGAGAGGGATGGGGCACCGGGGAGAGCATCTCCAGGGAGGGGGGAAGGACAGGGCACCCCAGGGGTGCACCCGGAGCCCATCACTGCCACTGGGAGAAGGATGGGGCTCCCTGGGGGTGCGTCTTCGGGGCTGGGAGCAGGACAGGGCATCCCGGGGGTGCGCCCGGAGCCCATCATCGCTACTGGGAGAAGGATGGGGCATTCTGGGGGTGCCCCTCCAGGGCTGGCAGAAGGATGGGGCACGCCGACAGCGCGTCTCTGGAGCTGGGAGCAGGACAGAGCAGCCCGGGGGTGCATCTCCGTGGCCAGGAGAAGGATGTGCCACCCTGGGGATGCACCTAGAGCTCGTAATTGCTACCGGGAGAGGGACAGAGCATCCTGGGGGCACATCCCTGGGGAAGGCAAAAGGATGGGGCACCCCCAGGGTACACCCAGAGCCCATCATCACCGCTGGGAGAAGGACAGAGTGCCCTGGGGGTGCATCTCTGGGGGTGGGAAAAGGATGGGGCACCCCCAGGCTGCACCCAGAGCCCATGAGGAGAAGGATGGAGCACCCCAAGGGTGCATCTCCAGCGCCAGGAGAGGGACAGAGCACCCCAGGGCTGCATCTCCGCCGCTGGGGGAAGGAGGTGGCACCCCAGGGACACATCCAGAGCCCACCATTGCCACCGGGAAAGGGATGTGTCACCCTGGGGATGTATCCCTGGGGCCGGGAAAGGGACGGAGCATCCTGAGGAAGCACCCAGAGCCCATCATCAGCACCAGGAGAAGGATGTGGCACCCTGAGAGTTCCTCTCTGGGGCCAGGAGAGGGATGGAGCACTCTGGGGGTGCAATCCCTGGGGCTGGGAAAATGATGTGGCACCCCGAGAAAGCACCCAGCGCCCTTCTCCGGTGCTCGGGGGGCAGCGAGGGGTCCCATCCCCGCCGTGGGGCTGGTAGCCGGGGTGGCCAGCCCTTACCTGCCCGTTCTTGCAGAGGTCGGCCCACATGCTGGTGCCGTCGCCGCCGCGCATGAGGACGTGGTAGGTGAAGAAGTAGGTGCCGGGGATGGCGCAGGTGAACTTGCCCGAGGCGGCGTCGTAGCTGTTGCCCAGGTTGGTGACCACGTCGTCGAACTTGAGGACCTCGTAGCCCTCGTGGGGGTTCTTGAGGCCGGCGTAGAAGGCGACGCGTGGCACCGTGCTGTAGGTGGCCGCGCTCACCGCACCCGTCGCCCCCGGTCCCGGCAATCCCGGGGGTCCCGGCCGTCCCGCTTCACCCCGCGCCCCC